AGAATAGAGAACAAACAATCTTTATTTGTACAGTTATATTGAAGAACAAAGGCTGTATTCACACAAGAAACTAGCAATACGTGTTCAGTATGTTATGCTGTTGCATGTAGCCACTAGGTTTTAACTGAATTTTTAATTGAACACAGATAAGTAAAGATTTGAAAGGAGCAGGCATGAACAATATTTAGGAATGTTAAAAGTCAGTAATTTAGACATTAAACAATGTGTATGTGAGAAAATTTATGTCTAACTAAAAAATGATAACTTCCAGAAATCTGATAATTTTGGCAGGGGCTCCTGGGAATAATATTTCAGCAAGCTCTGAAATCTGTGATATTAATTGTTGCTTCTATGATCTTTAAGTTTTTAATACAATGCATCTTCCTAAAATTGTACATTTGTAATTTCTAATGTTTTACATAACCATTATAGTAGTTAAAAGCTTTGTGAAGAGCAGAGTTTTGGAAGAGCTTTACACAAAGATTGGGCAGTTGAAATATAGAGACTTACAGCTCTGTAGAGTGCAGGAAGACAAAAAGGCATCATTTCTCTGATCAGCTAAGCAGGATGGTTAAAGGCAGGATTGTGCCAAATTGCAAAGTAATACAATCAAATTGACTGAAGCTAAATTAATTTTGTTCTTGAATGCTCCAAAATTAAGGTGAAAAAAATCACAACTAATAAATTATGTTGAAACCATACTGCTTCAAGCTGAATCTGGGAAGTATTCATACTGGAACACAACTACATTTTAAAATCAAAATGAGGATATCAAAATGAGTAAGTCCCATAGCATCAGTCCCCAAAAGAATTCATGACTGTGGACTCATTTGGGACTGGTGCTGTAATACTGATACATATTTATATCATGCATTGCCATCTAAATAGAAAGGACTTCTGAATCTTCAGTCCAAAGCATTAGCAATTCCCCCCAGGTTTGTCATACACAAATTTGATGAGTGCCCCTTCAATCCCTTCATCTAGGTCATTTATGAAGATGTTGAAGAGCACTCAAGAACCTTGAGGAACCGCACTGCTTGCTTCTCTTCTTATGGTTCCATTAGGATGAAATGCCGAGTGCCACTGGTCAGCCAAACTATAAACAAACTATTAAACAATTCTATAATTAATAATGCTAAGGGAAATACATTAAACAGATAACCACAATCACTTCAATACAGTGCAGGCTTCTGAAATCGATAAGTAGAATTAACTTCAGCATTATGTAGGTGGCTACAAAATTATTGAAATATTTGTGTTAAGAGTGTCTCCCTGGAGACAGCATTTCAAAAGCTGTATCCCAAAACTAAAATAAATCAGGTGTCCATTTGCTTCTCTTGATTTTTGTAAACATTTTTTCCCCAATTCAGAGTAGAGCTTGGAGGTCTTCCAGTCCAACTCTCTGCTCAAGCAAGAGACCCTATACCATTTCAAACAAATGGCTCTCCTGTCTCTTCTTAAAAATCTCCAATTTGTAGGTGGAAGCACCTACAAATTCCGAAGGCTTGTTCCACTGGTTAATTGTTCTCACTGTTACAAAGTTTCTCCTTAATTATAAGTTGCTTCTTTCCTTGATTAGTTTCCAGCCATTGTTTCTTATCCAGCCTTCTGGTGCTTTGCAAAATAGGTTGACCCCCCTCTTCTTTATGGCAGCCCCTCAAATACTGGAATACTGCTATCATGTCATCTCTAGTCCTTCTTTTCTCTAAACTAGTCAAACTCAAATACTGCAATTGTTCTTCATATGTTTTAGTCTCCAGGCCTTAAATTGTCTTAGTTGCTTTTCTTTGCACTTTTTCTAGTCTTTTTTGTAATGTGATGACCAAAAGTAGATGCAGTATTCCAGACATAATCTCTCTTTATATTAAATTGGTACTAATAATTCACATGATTCTGATTCTATGCATCTGTTTATACAACCCAAACCCAATCCAATATCTTCTAGATATTGAGAGGTGCTGGGTGTAAGATGGAACCTTGTGGTACCCCATTGCTTCCTTCCTTCCATGTAGATGTAGTGCCATTAAGGACTACTTGTTGACTACAGATTTTTCACCAGTTACAAGTCCATCTGGTGGTGATGCTGTCTATCCCATATTTTTCTAGCTTAGATTGTGTAGATTGTAGAAAGTAGATTGTGATATATTTTGTTGAATGTCTAACTGAAATCTAAGTATACTATGTTCACAGTATTTCACTGGTCTACTAATTTAGTCATTTGTCAAAGAATGAAATAAGATTGGTTTGGCATAATCTGAGATAATTTAGTTATAACAAGAACTAAAGTTCTAATTATAACTTTATTTGTTTCTACATGTATGCAGATCTGTTTTTTTATTATCTTTTCCAGTATCTTCCCAGGTATTGATATTAGGCTGATTGACCTGTAGTTTTCTGGATCTGTCCCCCCAACCTTTTTTTTTTTTAAGATGGGAACCACATAAGCTCTTTTGCAATCCTCTGGTAGTTCCCCGGTGGTCCACAATTTTTGAAAAATATGATACAATGGTTCTGAGATAACCTCTGCCAGCTCTTTCAGGATTCTGGGATGCAATCAGTAATCTCCTGGTGATTTATGTTCATCAAGATCAGAAGATTTGATAGTAGCACCTATAAAAGGTCTTTAAAGATGACCAAAGTTCCTGGGCAGATATGTATGGAATAAAATATGCCGTGAAGCACTTTGATCTCAAAGTCAGGATTTCGAAAATAAGCACCAGGATTCTAATGTTGGACTTAACAGCGACTGACAATCAACCAGCAAAGAATTGATTTTTCATGATTTTTTTGACCAGTATCCATTAGTATTTGAAGGTTAAATGAAGTTTTGAGATGTTTTTAAAGGAAATAGAACTATAAACCATTCTAATAATCCAGTGAAAAAATGGGAGAAATGCCAGGCCTTTCCTGATCTGAAAAGGTTATAGCAGTTGTCTTTAGCTATAAAATAGTCTTTACGTATAAAACCTACCTAATTTTCCACAAGTTGATTCATCTAGGTGCCATTTGGGTATGAATGGGTAAGAAACTTCTCCCAGGGTAAGGACAGATATGTTGGCATAAAGAGCAAGAAAAGCAATAATTTGTCCAGTTATACTATAAATTGTTAGATTCCGTTTGCTCCATGGAATCTACTTTAATTTCTTCCTATCCTGATAAAGCAGAAAATCTACACCTAAACTGATAGTGATCAAAGAATGACAATAAGCCTGAAGGTTAGATCATCTACTTTACCCTTTTCTTGCTTAGATCTGAAAAAAAAAGTCATAGAACCATCTATATGTGTTGACTGAGGACATGTTAGTACAGTTCCATGATATATTTAGTCATGATTTAAGTCATGACTATCAGTACAGGCATCCTTATCATCAGATATTATATGTAAAAGCTGCATGAGAAATCAGTTAAATCCGTAACCTGAACCAAAACTCCAATGTCAGGTGTGAATATTCAAAATTGCCTGTAAGCAAGAAGTCTGGAGATGGATATGAAATTTTTAGGTCTCAGTGTCTTTCATCATTGGCTAAGGCCTGCTGTCAATATTAATTAAGTAGCATTTGAAATACCAAGTTCCTCATGTTTTATGTAAATACCGTAAATTGTTTAGAAATCTTTTTCACTCAGATTTACAAAGTATATTGTCTAGATACTATTGCAATCACATTATTTAGTATGTCCACTTTTTTCTTTTAAATGTATTACTTGATTTTTAGGCTTCTTGTCTTCTATTGCTTTACCAATAGTGGCTTCTGACATTCACTATATTTTTAATTACTAGCTTTCTACACGAATGTAATCTCTTACATTGCTTCATGAAAACAAAACAGGAAACTAATGGATGGCTCCTTAGTTTATCTTTAAATTAGTCTAAATGTCAATTAAAGTTTTTTTCAAGGCGTGAGTGTATACATACACACACACACACATAGACGTTTGTGTGTGCGCCTGTGTGTGTGATTGTTGCCTCTTTCTTCTTAAATTAAAAGGAAACTGCTCTTAATAAAATAAAAAGGAGATGATAATGAATCTTATTGAAACAAAAAAAAGCAGTAAAAGGGTAAGAATGAATGCTCTGAGATCTGTGCTGAACAGGAGTAACTTTGATTTCTGGTCAAAACAGTTCAAAAGATAAACTGTAGTTCCACACTGCAATTTAAATAACTATTTTAATTACAAATAGCTATATTAATCCTTTTACTACTTTTTGTTGACATTTATTTTGTGAAACTCTTTGTTCAATGGGCATTTTATGGCAGTGCCCATTATACTTTTACAAATATGCCAAATATAACAGTTTAATTTTTCAACTACTTATAGAAACTGCAATTCTTCTCTGGCACTAAAAGATCCTTGGGTAGTATTTGCTTTAGAAATTGCTACCTTTCATTTGTAATTTCCCCTTTCTTCCCTCTCTCAACACAGTTACACGTAAACACCCAGCCAGAATCTGAAAACTGTTCATCTTGCTATACTTTCTATTTCTTAGAAGAAATGTTCCAAATATTCTGTATTGCAAAATGATTAATCTTTGCTTTCAGACAAAAAGTTACAATTTTTTATGAAATTCACTTCATTGTGTTTTAAATACATTGGTCAAAAAAAGTTATTAGGAGTACAGTATAAAACCACAGCAAAAATGTGGGTAATACAAGTTTAAAAGCAAGTGCCAAAATAAAGCTGCAGTGTTAAGTTCTCAGTTGCTATTTACAGAAGTGAGGCATTCTATCAAAAGAAACTTAAATTAGTATCAATTTATCAAACTGTACATAAAAATAAAAGCCGGGTCATTTATTTTCAAAGAAAACAAGACTTATTTTGAACAGCAGTGTGGCAAATATGACAATTCCAACGATGGGCCTTGTCAGTACAGTGTAGATCACTAATATTATCCCTCCATAAAGTATATTTGCTTTCAATATTAAAGAGAAAAAACTAGAACAAGAAACACCATAAACTCTGATCATACAATAATTGACGTCTATTCAAAGACAGAGTATATTAATTTTAAATGCACTTATGTCTTGTGGACCACAGAAGATTGTTTAGGGTTACCTGATAATCGTACTGATGTTCACCTACAAGTTGACCATTTTGTTCAGTGAATGGAGCCAAGCCTCAAATTCCACTGAATGTGAACATATATCAGTCTATACATTTGGGAAAAATCAGTGTGTACAATGTAGTGGGCAGCTTGTGCTTATGAAAAATGATAAATCAAAATGAAGGCTCACCAGTGAAAACCCACTTTTAGATATTACAAATGTAAAAGCTAGATATAGAAGAGGCCAATTAGAAGGGGCAATAGTTTTAGGTGTATAATTCATTACTTTAAAATGTTTACTAAAAATGTGTTTAGTATAACAAATATTTGGTAAAATGTTCATCGAAGTGCCTTGAAGTGTACCTGAAGTGGTTGTGACTATTCAACATATACCTCATGACAAACAGTTGATATTTATAACATGTTGACAAACATGTTATATAACATATGAACAATCTTTCACTGTTATCAAATGGATGCGTACAAAATTCTTCAAGTTGAAGAACAGAGACAAAAGTATTATAAAAAGAAAAATGCGCTTTAAGTGCAAACTGAACAAAGTATGGGGTTTGCAGGTATGATTTAACTTGGTAGTGCAGTGGTACTCGGTACCCAACTGCTTCAAAACTCATTGAATTTGATGAGGAAAATGTTGTTCCGGTAATCATCATTTGTTTGGTGATCATCAGAATGCAAAATGGGGGATAGCGGCAGAAAGCATAAAGTCAGGAAAATTGCTGCAAAAGGAAGTGGGAGACAGCTGCAGAGGGCAGCCTGGAAGTCAGCCATGCTGGGAAGTTCACTGACATGGGAAAAAGGAACAGATAAGTTCTTTCTGGCCAAAACAAAAGGTCATGATAAGTCACATAATTCGTTTGATCCTCATTTTTTTAAAAAGCTTGTTGCACCTCCTGGAAACAATTAAGGATGAGTTTCAAGGTACCTCTGTATTGAGTTTTTCATAAGAATATCTACTTCAAATGATCTCAACATTTTAGCTTTCCCTATTTTCTATTAGATGCAGCATTAAAACCATAAAACAACAAAAAAGTGTATTGGTGTAGATTATCATCAGTTTTACAATCAGCAATAAGATGGGCCATTTATCTATAATGCGTCAAATTGATCTATAAAAAAGGTGTTATCCTAATTGGGCATGTTTTACAGCCTAATGCAACTGAATCAAATGAAATCAGGCTACACTGAATATGTATAGTTTGTTATATATTATTTATCAATCTTATCAACTAATAAGACTAAAAGCTACCAGCATCAATATTCAACAAAGTGAACATAAATTTCACACAACAGCCCTAATAAAATGTCCTCCCTTCTTCTATGCCTAAAAGTTGCACAAGTGATGATAATGTTTTAAAGAAGAAGAAAAAACATTGTTAACCAGCATCGTTATATCCCTTCCCAGCTTCCAAGTTGTTTTATAAACTAAATTGCATGAGAAACAGAATACTGCACTGCCATAAGGCAAGAACAGATAAAAATACAGCATATATGTAATTGTTCCAAATTATACAATAGGCTTTCTTTTATATTTCACCAGTCAGACTTTGCAATTGATTTACACTGAATCAGTTTAAGATTAGTTTGTAGTTGTATTAAAACTGAATCATTGGTCCTTGAAGATATTTTTACTTAAAAGATCTGGATTTTGGCAAAGCACTTTATGCTTTCACAAATTAATTGGTGCAAGTAGATTTTTCTTTAAATAACTCATGAAAATGATATCTACAATTAACATAATAGCATTGGTGATCTATTTTCAGAGCAACACAACTTTAAATTCTTCTGGCCATACTCTGCTTCCATTAACTAAATCGTGGGATCAGAGCATTCACATCTTATTGGTTAGGAAAAAAAATTGTTTCTGTTGACACAAAGAGTAGGCAGAAAAATGAGTAGCTTTAACTTGTTCTAAGTCTAGATTGTTGATTTAAGGAACCACCAAATTATTACAAAAATTTTATGTGTAAAAAGTGTATTTTCAAAACATCTGCATAAAAATGTGCTAATTTTATCTTTCTACATTTCAGTCAAATTCAGAGATGAGTGTGCACAATTAACAGCCTTAAATGGGAGGGGTGGGGGAGTGGGAGTGAACTTGCTAACAAGAAAAAGGTTCTTTCACTTAACTAAAAGTTTCTGTTTACTACACTAACATTTTTGTTTACTTACATTTGCAAAATACCACTATTATCAATATAAAACTGTTTCATGTATGCATGCTATAAGAACTCATTTCTGGCAGCCCAGCTTTCTGATATGTATTTTTATTGACTACTATCCTGGTCATTGTAGTTTTTTAAAAATTTTCTTTATGGCTGCTGTTCATGTATATCCAAATACTAACTACTGAAAAAGTTTTAATTCATGTGGAAGCGGTGTTCCCCGCGAGTTATGTGGGAAGAAAACTCATATCTATCCTGGCTGTGATAGCCACACATATTACACTCAAAAGGATTGCGGAACCCATGACAACCCATGTGGATGGTATACATTACATGGTCTAGAAAAAGAATTCTACAGTGTTCACATCTGTAGACTTTTACTTGCTCCCCATTGCCATTGATTACTTTGAAAGCATCTTGGGAGCTGTCATTGCTTCCTCTTAGGACATCATATTGCCTGTGTTCTTCTTTTATGGAGAGGCCATTCCGTGCATGAGGCACTATGTGGTTGGTTAGGTATATTAAACCACTACGTTCTTCATTATTGCTCTCGGTATCGGTAGAATCTTGGCCGCTGTTGCTGGGTGAAGGGTCCCTTTCTGAAGAGATGGACTTGGTTTTAGAAAGTAGCAGTAAGTTTTCCACTGCACTGTCCTGAACTGCATGATTGGCTCGAGCATGGTTGTCTCCAAGGGGTTTGTGAAGCTGATACATTGGACTGATGACAGACACTCCTTCTGAGCCACCAGGGGGTGTCTGCACCAAAGGGCGCAAAGATTCTGCCCCTAGATAATTGATGGCATTATTAATAGCTTGATCAATGACATGGGTTTGCATCATATCATTCTCCTTTTCATAATTGGTGGTTGCATCATAGGGCATATCAGAAATACACTTCTCACCTGCAATCCAAAGTATATCAGAGTTAGGCTTGGTTTTGAAATATTTTTCAAAACATCAGGCCTGATCAATAAGAGCTGATAATGACACTGGGAAAATATGAATAATCTGCACACAAAGATAATAAGTTGAGAAGATGTGCACAAAGACAAAGAATCTAAAATGAAATATTTCTAATACATTTTAGCAGAATCTCTGTTTGGAATTCAATTGAACTTGCCAATATTCTGGCATGTTTGTGACTATTATTTTGTTTGATTAATACACGTCATCATTTGAAGCCTTTCTTCCTTCCTCCCTGAATAATGTAGGTGCCTTTGTATTTTTTTAAATTCTTCTTACTAGGAGACAAAACCTGATCCTTTGGAGCATCATACTGCATCATACCTGTGAGCTGTCAGAATTATCACCCAATGGGAAAAGAGATTCTTTCTTGTGGCCAAAGCAGAACTGTGGCTACTAAACATCTGAGTTACTTGATTTCATTTTGATAACTTCATGTTTTTAGGGCCTAAATCTAGATCTTACTTAAATTCTTGCTGTCATTATTGTCATCTTCCTACACCACACTGCAAATAACTGACAGGAAACACTACTCTTCTAAGTCTTCATAGCTGGCAAGATTTCTTATTATGACAATAAGGAAGTGAGAGAATGAAAATTGCATCTTCCTCTAGTCCCATGCCAGGACTAATCCATAACCAAAAGTGTTCTTCTCAAAGTTATTGAACATCCCTGTTTGTTCCATATTCGTAGATTTTATATTCTGGAAAAATGCATGGCACTTTATTTAGATAGTGTTTCTGAACTTAAGAAAGTATGTGAGTATTTTTTATCTACAATGTGAGATCCTCAGATGAGGCTGCCTTTATTACAAAAGTTTCTGGGCAGAAATAGGGAACGCTATTGTCACATCTTCTGAATGCCAAGCCTATGTTTCTGGCAATATCATTCGCTTCAGAAATTAGTAACGCTCTTATTCTTGTAGCAGTCAATTCTGCCCTGCAAGACTAAGAGTTTTATGAGATCATTTTTGTTATGTATCTGAATTACTACTGAGGTGCTCAACATTATACTGATGGGACATATGAATTTTGTATAGTTTTCATCCTGTTTCAGAAGCACTAATAAGAAGCTAGGTATAGTGAACTGGGTGAATAATGTTCAAATATTAGTAAAAATTCTGCATATACATGAATATCTTCTGTGTACTAAACACAATAGGTATTGTTCGTTCCATTTCTATGCAACATTATAAAAATTAAGTTGGTAAACTTTAGATATGGTCAGTAGATTTGGTTGCAAAATCTGAATTTTCTCAATACTAATGTGTTGCTATTAATTAATTTTCTCCTTTTAGTTGAGATTAGATAATGTTGAATCAATCAGAATAAGCACTGGACCAGTAGAGTTATTTAAATTAGAGGCCATGCTGGACTTTTATTTTAAAAAAGGGGGACATTATAGGAGACATAAGAGAAAACTATCAAAATAGAAAAAAGTGTTTTTGGCCAAGTCAGAAGGCCTTACTTCTCATTCAATTACTCTAGTATTCTTAGAGAGTCAGAATACTACAAATTTATCAGAAGTACAATTTTAGGAATGGTGAATCCATGACTCTCCAAGGTGCTGAATTAACTTCAGTCAGTATCAGTTGCCAAGGCAGGAATGGTGGGAGTTTTCTATTTAAAAGACATAGATTCAATCTTGGTAAATAATTGATTAATTGATTGATTAATTCCATGTCAGATTAGGCCAATTGCTAGGTTTTTGCATTCCAGAGATTTCCCCCAAGTACAGATATCATCTCCCCATCTTACATATCTTTCCCTATGTGTGAAGGTGGTTGGTTAATCAAGTTCAACGCCACCTCCCTTCCCATATGTCCAGCACCGTTCTTTGCCATCTTTGTCTCTAAGATTATTAAAAAAAAATTCTGCTGTTTTATACTGAATATTATTAATGTTTCTATTTTTTTATGTTGTAAGTCACTCAGAATCACTGAATACAAGATGGGTGGCATTTAAATTTTATAAATAAATAAATAAATAAATAAGCTATTTCTAAATAAATAAGCTATTTCTATAAATAAGCTATTTCTGCAGGGGCAAAACACTTTTTGGACACTTTCAATCATGTCAGTGCTGTTTTACTAATCCAAAATCATTGCATATTTTTTACTTGACCACTACTAAGAGGAGCTTGGAATCCACAATTTTTGATTAATTGTTTTGCTCTTTCTATTGTTATACAGCAATACAATTAAAACTAAAGAATCCAACCAGGAGAAAGAGGGAGCAACATTTAGTTCTTACCAACAAATTTCTGAGGCAGAGAACTCTTACGTTTGGCGACGTTACTTGCTAGTCTGTCCAGCATAAGGGAGCGCTCTGATCCCATCTTACACAGGTCTTCAGCCATTTCACTTTGGCTGGTTTCCTCTTTCATGACTGGAAAAAAAGTGTTAAAGGACACCAGATGTTTTAAGGCACACTTATTTCCAAATTTTTCTGAAACTCTGCTGGCAGTCAGGCTCTAAAGCTGAGAAGCAACAAAAAGAAAGGTAGTTTGGGGTATTGGATAACTAAATCCTTTAACTCAGAGATTCAAAATCCAAGTACCCATTATCATTTTAATGCAAGAGAATATGAAATGAATTAAATAAAATATATAGACATAATTATATGAATAATTCCTACTTTAGTTTGAATTAAGATTCAGTTCAGCTTAGATTTACTTTTTCCTTCTGGTTTCATCCATTTTTTTGTCCCACCTACTTTTTTAAAACAAAGCCCTTCTCTGAAAAACAAATCAACATTAACAAAAATGCAGCAGCATAGTTTGTGACAGTGGTAACCAGTGACTTTGTGAGTGGGAACAGCTGCTATTAAAAAACAACATATAAAAGTAGGCATAGAGCAAAAGTGAGGAGGAAGGAAATGTGACAACTCTCTGTTTCTTCTCTCTTGGGCTCCAGAAGGGAGTAACAAATCCTACCTAATAAACAAGTGAACTAGGATGTTTTCTCTTTAACCAACAGGCTTTACTGTTCATGTTTCCTGGAGAAACAGAGAAAAATATTTCATTGAATTCCAGTGCAGAGCCTCATTAAGGAAGACCACCTCACTTTGCTGTGAAAAAGATTTATTTTTCTCTAGCTATGTTCCTAACAAATGACAAAGTTGTAGAATAATTCTAGATATGTTATTCTACAGCTCCCTTGTCTTTTTGCTAGAGTATGCTAGAGGTGGCTTGTGAAACTCCAGGTTTGAATTTGAAGTTCAATCAGGAGACTCAATATAAATCAAATAAAGCAATGATCTTTAATAATTTTCTACTTCCCCCTTTCACTGTGGGAGGGAATTCTGTTCCTCTCCCATAACAGTTTCTGATCCTTCAAGTTGCTGTTTCATTGTAAAGCAGCTGCAAAAGCTCTGTCCATAGTGTTATTCCAGAAGACAAACAGATTCTGAAGTTCATTTTTTTCGTTTCTTAAATACAAACCATTTGTTTTGTATATTTGTAAAGGAGATACTTACTACAGTTTATACAATCCATTACTCTTACTATGGTTACCTGTTGGCATTCATATACTACTCCTACTCTACTACCCATATTTCCTGTTCTGTGTTGAAATCCATGGTTCTTGTGCAAAATAATGGTTTTGCATCATCCCAACACCTAAACGTTTTCTATTTTCTACTTGGTTGTAAATCACTGGCTATCTATTAAAGCATTGTCCCAAATCACTGTTCATTCTACTGAGCTTTTTAAATGTGGGACTTATGTCAACTGATTCCAAATTATTTTCAATTTTTTTTGTGTGCAATCACTGTATTATTGGTTCTCTACAAAGTATTTCCAGTCATCTATACTGAGTTAGAAATACACATTTTTGTGAAAAAAGTCTGTTTTTTTCTGTTGTGATACTCTGGTTTATGTGTCATTTAGACTGATTCATAGATATGGTAAGTTCAAATACCTACACATTTGGAATTATTTTGATTGGTCACAATACACTCCATATATATATTGTTTTTGAAATAAATATTTTAGCACACTGTCTTATAGATTCTCACTACAATCTAGAAACAAAAGTAACCCTTTGTGAAAATAAATTTTCTGTATTTAAAAGTTCCCAACTTAGCAAAAATGAAAAGGTCTCACAACATCAACTGTCAGAAGCATCCCAGCTGCTTTACAGCATTACTTTGACAGACATCAACTTTAGATTATCTGAAAATGTGACAGCTGTATAAGCAAAGAGCCATGGTGGTGCAGTGGTAAGAATGCAATATTACAGGTTAACTCACTGCTCACTCCAAGAGTTCAATTCTGAATGGTTCCAGGTTGACTCAACCTTCCATCCTTCTGAGGTTGATAAAATGAGGACCCAGATTATTGGGGGCAATATGTTGACTCCATGAACTGCTTAGAGAGGGCTCTAAAGCATTATGAAGCAGTCAGTATATAAGTGCTATTGCTATTCCCCAAAACACATTAAATGCAGTATCTGCATTTATGAGGCCTAAAGTAACATAATCTACTGATGTGATAATCTGCAGAAAGTATCTTCAGGACATCCACCTGATACAACCACATCATGTGCTATTCTATATCCCGACTGAGCTGATAATCTATCCATGATGGATCAGCCTACTTGAAAGCTAAATTAGCATATGCTTTGACATTATGTTACAAAGTGAAAACAGCAGGACTCTGAACACTACCCATTTTTATGATGCTCATAACTGAAGTAATTGATGCAGTTGGAAATTATATTATTTTCATTGAGTTACTTCTGCTTTGTGAATTGCTATATACTTTATTTATTTGGTTTTTTTTAAAGATTTGATCATTTTTATTGTAGTCTGCCATGACTCATATAATTTACTAGCAGAAATATAATTATCAGCAAGCAAAAGTTAAAATGCACTGACAGGATCGAAGCAATTTTAATTCTTTTTCATCATACACAGTAATAGGTGTATCAAAAATGCTTCATCTAGTCTTGTTACAGGGACTAGACACAGTTTTTATCTTTTCCTGAAAAGACCTTACATAATGTTTGATGACAATGCTAGATATTGTGTTTCCAGTAATCCAAAGTATGCCTACAGAAAATGTGCAATAGTCTTGTGGGGCCTTCTGGCTTTAAACTTTGCAAAATGTAGTATGCAACTGAAGTGCTCATAACCCAACTTTAAGAAACAGTGGTCTTCATTTTTTTCTCTATGCACATTAATGCCTGTCCATATTTTACTGTGCATTCAGCAAAGATGGAATAAGCATGAATTGTCCCCTTCCTTTCAAATGAATGTCTGCATTCATTTGTGTATGTATGTGTGTTTGTACCTTATAATATACAATCACTGAAATGGTTGATTAGCGAGTGCTGAAATAAGAACAAGAGAAAGAATGTTTCTTCTAAAATAATTTCCATCTCAAAGAACACTTTTTCTTGGAAGATAAAAGAATTGTAGCTCATGTTTGGAGGTTTCCCAGATATTCCTACTTCATATTTCACTCCATGCATCTGATATTGCAAGAGCTAGGAAAGATTCAGTATTGGAGAGTGGGGTGGGGGGAGATTGCTGATTGAGAAAGGCAGGAAAGATTGATGACCACACTATTGAACCTGCAAACAGAAAGATGAAATAGCTTCTTGTTGCTATGACAGTAAAATCGCCTATTAAATTCTCCAAAAAGATTTAGCTGTTAGAAAGTAAGCAAGGGAAAGAAAGTGGGCAGCAGAAAAGTAGCCTTCAAAGATAAGGCAAAGAAAAACAGGAGGGAATCACTTGCTCAACTTCAACTGAGAAATTGTAACCAGACAAGAGGCAATAGCTATTTCTCACATTCAATCTCTTTGCCTTTAGAATTCGATCAATCCCTTCCACCCTGAACTTATCCGTGCTTTCTGCAGCTCCTAAAAACGCTAGTACTCCAGGAGAGCATTGGACTACTCATAGAGCGGGCCTTATAATTGCATCTTATTATGAAGCTAATCTTGCCTTTTGCTTTGTATTCTTACCCGGATAGAGGCCACCTGAAAGATTCATGGTTTGTAAATAGTTGTGGCAGCGCTCCTTATGTTCTTCCAAAGAGCTTCGCTGCTTATAACTCCGACCACAATATCCACATTTATGAGGTTTGCCAACTGCAGGGGGAAATGGAATTTATTGTAGAAACTCAAAGAGATCTGGGATAATATAGTCCAGATAATGTGAATCAAATATGTACAAACAGCCAGACTCAACAGCCATCCTGAAGAATGCAAAGGATAATTTTTACTGCAATTTTTGGGGCATGTAAATTGGTCATGTTGTAATGAAAACAGGCCTATCGACTCAAAATATCGGGGGTGGGGGGTGCCATTAATAAGAGGAAAAATTGTCAAATTAGAATTTGCTCAACTCTGGCTTGAAAGTTTGCGTTTAATACAAATAAATTTAATAATGAATAAAACTTGCCTGATTTTTAAAATAATTTTTAAAAGTTATTTTGCATTGTTTCTACAAGAAAAGGTATAAACAGGAAATTTTGAGTTGAAAACTGTTTAAATGCCAAGGCTCAAAGCTGCATTCTATGCAGGTAATATTAAATGCTTATATCTAATAGTGAATAAATTTTAGCTGCTAACTTTGTCCAATATTGCTTCTATCTTTATAAAACAGATTTATCTACGGTGGGTTTTTTAAGTTATCAAATAAACCAATGTTCCCCCAATTGAATACAGCATAATAGAGTTGGAAGAGACCTTGGAGGACTTCTAGTCCAACCCCTTACTCAAGCAGGAGGCTCTACACCATGTCAGATTAATGGTTGTCCATTTAGTGTTTAGTGCACCCACCTTTAGTGTTGGTGCACCCACAACTTCTGGAGGCATGCTGTTCCTATATATAAAGATATAAGGAACAATCTACACTGTACAGTTATATTTTCAGTTGGGTTCATCTATGGAACTGTTGGCCTTATGTAGTAAGTTTGCACATTTATGATTCGTTAGTTTTAGAGTGCTAATACATGGTCAAGCATTTATTAAAAATAATAAATAGTTCTGAATCAAAAGTATAGTTTGTTTATATGCTTGACAACTCTTGTGATCTTACAGATAGGCAAAAGATCATGAGAAAAAAATATATGGGCTGCTGGCCTGCATACAAACTGCTAGGAAATACATTTTTCCAAGTCTGTTATTCTGTTCCGTTCTGTGCAAGTCTACCTGAAAATTTAACTGAAGTGCAACTAACCAAATGTCCAGTAGGCCCCTGGTTTCAGTTGAGGTTAGAAGAAACCTGAACTAAATTAGCATTAATCTCAAATCATTTTGTAGATATAATTTGGATTGGCCAAGTAGCAAGCAAAACCTTTCTAGAATTTTCTACCATGGAACCTACCGGAATGGGTCCTCAGATGGCCCGTAAGAGCATCTCTACGACGGCAAGCATAGTTACACAAGTGGCACTTGAAGGGCTTTTCGCCGGAGTGTAACTTTATGTGGCGGAGAAGGTTGCCCTTTTGAGTAAAGGATGCCCCACACTGATTACACTGGAAGGGGCGTTCGCCTACAGGGAGAATGAGAGGGAAAAATACGTGAGAACAAAACTCTTACAAGGTAATAGGAGGATGATTTCAGTGAGAAAGTTGTTTTCCAACTGGCGCTCTGTGACTTCCACCAGCTGCAGGTTTGATATAACATGAGCCTTTCAGACTAAACCTGCCAGTTCCTTAATGCTTCACTGGCTGGGTCAATTTGATCTGAAAATCTAATTTTTTTTCTAAATCAGAATGGCACATCACAATGCAAATTCAAACTCATTTAAATAAAGTGACTGCAACATTTTGTGTTGAAGAGCCACTCTTCCTGATCAGCAGTTTTGGAATAAACCAATATCCAATTTTGCATGTTGTGGCATTTGGTGGGTTTTTTTAATGTGGCTTTTTTCAAAGGGTCTTTAAAATATGCCACTGAAGCAGCAAAATAAAAAGGAAACTCATTAAAAATGCATTTCAGGATCACAAGTTCATTTCAGCGTTACATTCTTATATTTAAATGAAAGGCACTTCATTATAACAGTTATAATAACTTCTTTTCATTTACATTTTCCCTGTATTTTCCCTTTCAATTTCTTCTCCATTACCTGACTGTCCCTAAGCAGCCAAATCAGGAAAGAGACAGAAAAGTGTGGGGGCAGATGGGCGAGTGAGAGGGTGGGGAAGGGTGGAGTGGGATGGACTAAGAAAAGGAAGTTAAGACAGAGCAAAGGAGACAGCATCTTCCACACAGAACTCCTAACTCTCATTGCTGATATATTATATCACAGATGGACTGCAGGCTTATTTGTTTTGTTTGCGTTGCTTCGTTTGGTTTTGCTTTTAAAAAACAGTCCAGAGTAATTAATGTCTTATTCACATTTTAGGATTTATACATGGAATTGTTTTATTGTTAAAATTATCTTTTGAAGAGTATAGGCTTTTTTGGTTAGACCATATTTTACTACCATTGTCAATCAACCTTGAGCATTTTAAGAAAACAATATGCTAATTACAGTTTGGTAATATTTACATATTAATCACAATTCAAGATAGATGCCTTGCTAGGTACTAAAGAAAGCTAGAAAACATTGTCTTGAAGCTAACCAAGGGCTCCTGCTTATCTATAACAATTCTTCTGTAGTCTTTATTTTGCTAACATGCCAGAACTAAAGTAACTTCAACAAAGGTAACTTTTATTTTCTCTCTTGACCAGTTTAAATTTGTTCTCTCTACATTTTATTAGCCAAATCTGATCAACAGTACAGTAAATCATTCTTCTTTCCTTTCTCCCATATCCTTTGTGTAACCTCATAGTAATTCAGCTATTATGTAGCAGAGGAATTTAGTAAAGTGCTGTAATAAAATGTGTGGATGACCTTGAAGAACATGGGAAGAGTTGCTGCCTATAAAACAATCAGAGAAGAGAGACCAGTGCCATAATGGTCAGAGAAAGAAACTTAGGAAGGACTCCTCCTAATGGATCAAGCAGTTAAAACTGGTGACAGAATGTTTGCACTTTCAGATTTGCACATTTCTGTTAATATACCTTCACAATAAAGTTGAATTAACTCATCTAGTCATATTTCCTGTCTGGTTTACCTGGGAGAGCTGACACCACTCTTGCAAATCTGAAAGTGCAAGCTTCCTGCCACCACTTTTAACATCTTGATGCATTAGAGCAAGTCTTTCCTAAGTTTCTTTCTCTGACTGCTAAGCTGCCCTGCCTCTCTTGTCCAATTGTTTCCTAGGCAGCATCCCTTTCACTCATTCCACAAGTTCATCTACATTACAGGTGCCCCTGCCTCACCATGACCTAATTCATTCTCTCTTCTCTATCAATCATTACTCCTGTCCAGCATTACAGGTCCCCATTAAATGCTGAAATATGCCATTTTGATATAAACACTTACACCCTATCTAATAAAGGCAAGAGATCCAATGAGGCAATCGATCTGCATCTAAATAGATCCAAAAAGAAGGGCCATTTCCATAATCCTTTTAAACTATTATTTAAATATCTTTTATAACTGAGAAATTACTAGATATTTTTAGATACATTTATCTTAATAAGCTAATACAATTCGAAATATGTTAGATGTAACCAATAAATGTTTTTTTTTTCAAAAGGAAAATTTATTCCAAAGGGAAATTTGAATTTAAAATATTGAACTGGTAAAATAATCATTTTGTCAACATTTTTTCTTTTCACTTCTAATCTTATTACTCTAATTGAACAGTATGTTAACATTTAGCAAGTCATATTCCTTCCTACTCCCATACTGTAGTTTTAGTATTTTTTTCCTTAAAACTAGTGTGATAGATTGGCCAAAAAGTTTCTTTAAGAAAATTAATATTTACTGATTTCTTGGCCATTAAGGCAATGTTATATCCTTCCATAATAAACTATACCTCAGTTCAATCAACTTGATAAGTTATTGTGAAATCCAAAAGAGAGATACTTTGTTTAATTTTGAAAGGTTGTCTATAAATGTAATAAACATGTACCATAGAACATTTGTGCTAGAGTTATTTGATCAAAATATTACTTTTTCTCACATTTTTCTCAAATTCTGATTCTTCAGAATTTAGTCTGTGGTTCAAGGTATTTAAAATGTGTGGTGGCATTTCATTAAAATTCTCAGATCCACAGTCATTATTTAATGTAATAGTAATGTACATTATTTAATGTAATAGTAATGTAGAAATCATGCCTCGGATTCCATTTCTTGCCATTTATTTCTATAATTCTCTGGAAAAGAACAAAGGGATAAGGAGCCAGATGTCCTAATTTTTTTTAACTCAGTTCTTATACCTAAAAACATAAGCAGTTTGGTTCAGTGGCTAAAAGTCTTGCTCTCGAAATGATGAGATAGAGTTCTAGTTCTGACTTAGGCATGAAGTTTGCTGGGTGACTTAGTACTAATGACTCACTTTCACCCCTTCAAAGGAAACAATGGTAAATCACTTCTGAAAAATGTGCCAGAGAAAATTGTATAAAGTTGCTCGTGTGATCATCAGGAATCCAGACTGATTCAAAGAGCCTAGAATTGGTACAGAAGTGGCATCTTTTAATAAAGCAATATTTTGTGGAAATCTGCATTAGATGTAGATCTATTTAGCAGGAATTGCACACATGTTAATCTCTAAAAGGCAGCCCATTCTTTTAAAATTATTCTCCCTACACGTAATGAAATTGGAGAAATACAAACGCCCATTTAATTGGAATAAGCATAATCTTTATTGTCATTGTACTTAAATGCAACGAAATTGGAATATTGTACAGTTCAATATGGATGCAGATAGATGAGGAAATATGTAACATTGCACCTCTTACTGCAAGGAACATAGGAAATTCTGTGAAAATGTCATGCTTAAACGGGATTTGGGATATTCCATATTGTTTGGAAAGGTGTAGGAGGATGAACATTTTTTTCAGAAAATATCATCCATATTTCTGTTGCAACATAATGTAAACATCATCAGGGTTGCCAGGTATAAATAAATTAATCATGTGGCTACTATATAAAACATATGCTGTAGAAATCAGTGAAAAACGAAATTAGAACTGATGGTACCTGGCTCAATAGTTGTAACTCTAAGAGGGATCTAAGGGTCCTAGTGGACCATCCCTTAAGTAACAGTGAGCAGTGTGCTACCAAAAAAAGCTAATACAGTCCTGGGCTGCATCAGTGATAGCATCAAGATCATGAGAAGTGACAGTACTGCTTTATATCACACTACTGAGGCCACACATGGAATGCTACATCCATTCTGGTCACCATGATACAAAAAGAATGCTGAGACCCTAGAAAGAGTGCAGGGAAGAACAACAAATATGATAAGGGGAATGCTGGCTAAATGGTATGAGGCTTAAGGGAACTAGGAATGTCTAGCCTAATGAAGAGAAGGCTTAAGAATAACATAATCATTTCTTCCAATAGTTGAGGGGCCATCACAAAGAAGAAGAGCTTGACTTATTCTCCAAAGTATCTCAGCGTAGGACAAGAAGCAATGGGTGAAAGTTCATATAGCAATTCAATCTGAAACCAAGAAAAAATGTCCTGACAATGAATCAGTGGCATAGTTTGCCCCCTGGGATTGTGGTTATTCCATTGCTGGAGGTTTTCAGGAAAAGATTGGACTGCCATTTCTCCTAGATACAATCCTTCTGCCTTGGGCAAGTAGTTGGATTAAAAGAACTCTAAGGTTCTTAGAGTTCTATGTTTTAATGATTCTATGATCTATGATTTCTTTATTACTTATCTGCACTCCATGAAGAGCTTCACTAATAAACTTGCAAGTGTCTGTTAGAATAGCAATAGCACTTAGATTTATATACCACACCAGTGTTTTACAGTATTCTCTGGGTGGTTTACAATGTAAAATAATTTGGGTGGGTTCTAATTTTACCAACCTTGGAAGGATAGAAGGCTGGCGTTAACCTTGAGCCCCATCAGGATCAAACTCCAGGCTGTAGGCAGAGTTTGTCTGTAATATTGCACTTTAACAGAAACTAAAGGCAAAAGAAAGGATTGAGTGGGTGGAGTTCGAGGAAAAAATCAGCTTCCCTAATCAGGAAATTGGAAACAGCAGCAAACTTTGAGGAAAGAATAAGTGCACTTGCACTGTGAAGCCTAGTTTCTGTGGTAGGGACATATACCAAATGAAAGATAATTCTCTGTGCAACTGTAACATTTTATTTTGATATGTCCTTCACATGGGAAAATTATTTGAAAAATAGCTTTGAAAAAGAAAAAAAGATAAATATGATAGAAGTAGAATATTGAAAAGTGTCTTCCTTTGACTAAGGATGTACATTGTGAAAGAGTAAAAACACATGTTGCATAGAAGAAACAGACTGAAGGAAAGTGCTAGAAAGTTGCAACAGTATCCAAAAAAGAAGTTGGCAAATCAATCCTAAAATTGCAATTAAGCAATATCCACACAGAATTCAGATTTTGTACTATAGATATTTTTCTTTAAGACCACATAACAAAAGACTAAACTGTGGAATGGTTTTGAAATGTGCTATAAGCTTTTTAAGAATGAGGAATTTGGTTACAAAGATTGTTTTCTGATGTGGAAAAAACCTTTGTCTTCTGTTTTAAATACTATATTGTAGATTTGTTTGTTTGTGTTTGTTTGTTTATTTGGAAGTTAACTTCCAGCTTAACTTACCTCTTGGTGACTTTTGTATGAAAATTAACAACACTTTGTTGGAATAGCATGGAAATATCTTGCCACTGCCTTTTCTGAAATATTTTTCAACTTAGATGTCATCTACTGATCATTTGCTACTAAAGTCAGAAATAACAGTGAAATCAATGGTGAAAAATGTGGAATTTAAAATCAATATATTTATAGATACTATTATGACCTTGACGGACCCAGAGCATTTTAAATCCAATATGGTAGTAGTCATTTTATGGTTATGATACTCCCTAGGACTGTTAGAATAAACAAACATACAAATAATATGATCCCCTCTAACAGTATCTGTTTAAATCTTTCCAACTTACGAAGCAATTAGGCCTAAACAAGCTTGTGTGAGGCATTTTAATTAAAAGCAGGCTATTTGCCATTTACAGTCAAGAAAAAGTCTTATGTACTATGATTTCAATCAACTGCAGAAAGTGTCAGTATGCTTACCTTTCAAGCACTTATGGAAAGAGAAAAAAATTCAGATAATCTCAGTTACTTTAAAAAAAAAAGAAGATATCAAGTATTGTTTTGAATAATCACATCTGGCAGATATATTGAGGATTGGAGTTACACCTTTTAACTCATATCAGTCATTAATTATATTTGCTATGCTTATGCCAGTAAGGTTGAGTAGTTAAGGGCCAAGGCTAGAAACAGGAAGGTTCTGAGTTCCATTCTCAACTTGGGCACAAGCCCATCTGGGGGACTTTGGGCCAGTCACTCTATCTTAGTTCTGGGAAGAAGGAAAAGGTAAATCTCTTCTGAAAAACCTTCCTAAGAAAATGGAAGGAATTAATCCAGATAATTGCTAGGAGTCAGTACTGACTCAAAGGGACCAACCCCCCCCCCCCAGATTATGCAGTGCAATGGTTTTGATCTTTAAAGTTGTTTTAGAACAAGTGGGACCATGAAAGTTGCAATTCTTTTATTATGTTTATTCTACCATACAGCATTATGGAATATTCAGGAGTTATAGTAAATATTTTAAACCATAAACCTCATACTGTTATCTCACCATGAGATTGCCGTGTGTAATTTTCACATGCTACTGAAAAAGTAGGATTGGAGATAATTATTTTTTGCTTTCTTAGGACTAGATATGTACAAAACCTTCAAAAGAGATGCTTGATATGAGGGAATGGTTATCTGCTATGTTGTGGCTACCCCCAGATATCTCCCCATGCCTGAGCATGTACAGCTATTTAGCTTCGCCAGCATATTGAAGCATGGTTACAGGAATCAACAACATCAAACCCCTTTGCCAGGATCTCGCTTCCTACAAGGTTAAAATTTCTCCTCTAATTCAGTGCCCTTTTCAAACAAACAGCCATGACCAGAATGAAGTCAAAACAGCACATCCCACTTGTTGCATTCCCTCTTGATACGGATTGGGTTACAAAGGAGAAAATAAGCAGATAAGTAGTTATTTTGTAGACTAAAACCTAGAGTCAAAAATGAAAACCTAGAGAATGATATTTATATAATTTGAGAATCAGAAAACAGTGTTATATAGAAACATGAAACTTGGGTGAGACAGAGGATTGCTGGTGAAATCAAGAAAAAAAATTAGAATTAACTGTTTATGTCTGTAATTTGCAAATAATGCAAGGTATTTTAAAGCTGCATTTTAAATATATGAAGCACACATGGCGAATATAATATTCAGGAACAGTTGGACAGCAACAACTTTCTACGCATTCCTGTGGAGGTATGGCAAGGCCAAAAATCCTGTAAAAGGATTCATTTAATAACTTCCCAGATTTTTCTGCAACACACATGGCTCTGCATGGCAGAGGTTCAATGCTTCCTCATAGAAAAACTGATGTGTCATATAAGGAACTCAAACATATATATATATATATATATATATATATATATATATATATATATATATATATGTGTGTGTGTGTGTGTGTGTGTGTGTGTGTGTGTGTGTGTGTGTGTGTGTGTGTGTGTGAATGTATGTATGTATGTATGTATGTATGTGTGTGTTTATATATATATTTTTCTATTACCAGTTAAATAGTTTTAACAATGATTATATATTATATTATATATAATGGAGAGAATGGAGTATCATTGTTAAAACTATTTAACTGGTAATAGTATAAAAATAATATCCTATAAGACTGCCTTCTCTGGTTATGTGCCCAATTGAAATTTACAGTATGGTATGTTTTTATGTATCATCTTATCATTGTTCTGCCCAAATAACCAATTTATTATTGTTACGGTTGGTCATATTATTATTATTGCAACTGCAGTGAAAGCTTAGTGATGTTCTAAAGATGCTATAAATCACTCAGGAGAAATAATCTTGACTTGCTCAAAAACAAGAATAGTTTAGTTGAAATCTAGTGAATACTGTATATTTTTATATTTAAGATCTTTACCTGTTTTCTGCCTTTTAAATTCCAAGCTCTATCAAAGTCTCTTTCACCATTGTTTGTATGTGCCCATAACAAACACTAGTAGTATAAACAACAGTAGTTTATGGTATTGGAAGCAAACATACTCATTATTTTTTTCTAACAAAAAGTACAATGGACTTCACATAATCATTACAATTCAGGTTATGAATTATGGGGGGGGGGGGTAATTTGCCTGCTGACAATGATGCACTGATGCAAATGCCATGAGCAAACTATTTGTCTGCTTAAGATCTGCCACTCACTCCTTGGATCCATCTTTTCCAGATAAACGTATCTTTCTGGAAGATTAAAATTACTATCTGAACCTCAGAGTGATTAAGTTTAAAGGACTATATTCCCATTATATTTAAATCTTGGTTAAAAAATATCAGTTTGGATGTTTGATTCTGGTAATTATTATTTTGTTTCTAAAATATGGTTATTAAGTAAATGGAAAATAATATCATTTCTCAATTTGATAACTGCTATTATTTTGATCTTATGTCTGGCCTGGTTTGAAGACAAGACATAGCCTAATTATTCTATGTGATATATAAAAGGAATGGATTAGAAATCTAACCTAAATTTTTCCTTGGACTCTTCATGGTGGTATGATATTGGTATTCTTCATATGGTACAGTGCAGTATGGTCTGGGTGTGTTAAGTAATGTATTGTCTGGAAACCTTTCGAGTTTTAGGATAGGAGTGAGCAGCACAGTACGGGATTAATTCGAATACAAATCTCTAGTAGCTAAAGAAAAAAAAACTCTGCTAGACCTTACCAGTGTGGCTTCTCTTGTGAACCATAAGAACATTGGGACCGATGCAAATTATCCCACAGACATCACACTTTAGCTTTCCGTTAGGGAGTCGAATGCCTCCAACTCCTGACATGGCTTTGCTGCCACTGTGTGAGCCATTCATTTTGTCTCCAGAGGCATCAAGCATTCGTAAATCCTCCGCACATTCTTCCCCATTCATTTCACAGGCATGCCCATTCTCTTCATCACTCTGTGTCTCTACTTTAATATTACTGGCTGAAAGAAACAATAGAGGATGCCACTCAGTGGGTTTTTTTTTAAATAAACCAATCAAAATCATTGTGGGAAAGAAACAGCATAAAGGAAAGCATTTCTCAATAATACACTAACAATATAATTAAGTGACAAATTACTAATGTACTTACATGGGTGGAATGGACTTATTTAAAATACACAAATATTAAAATGTTTACATTTATAACTCTTAAGTTTCATATCATGCCCAAATCTCATATCAATATAATGTGCAAACCAGTGAAATTATCAATATTTCTGTCAGCCACAATAGCTCTTCAATAGATGATCATGGTGGCACACTTGACTGGAGAATGTGGCCAAGTTTTGTTTTATTGATGCAATATTTGTTGCCATAAATTACATTTATTATTATTGGTTGTTTATTGCCTTATTTTATTTTGTACCATAATTTATTTGATTTTTTTTCTTTCACCTGGTAAGTTTTCACCTTTATGTTTTTCTGTATTACTTTCTTCTCATTTACCATAATAAAAGACTGACTGACATATGACTGGATAAACAAGACCAACCTATCAAGCCCTAGTTCATTTGCCATACACTTGGATTGCCAAAACCTTGTTAAACCTTGAAGTAACCTAGCAGAGATTCCACCTATGACAGAGGAAGCAATGGAATATACTTAGTGAGGTATGTCCAAATTCACATATCTGAAGAAAGGTATGACTTGTCTAGAGCCATGGTTCTACTGAGCCCTAGGTTCCCTAGACAGTCACTGGAGCAGGTGTCAAAATATAACCTATTTTTAATCATGGTTCTCATTTTGACAGATTGCCAATGATATAACTGTTATTGCTCAAAATCTGTCAAGAATTCAGGTTGGAGCCATGAAACTTTGTGAGATTCTGTTGTTTTCTGTTCCATAAATTCTGTGTTCACCATAGCAGTAGCATATATTACAGTGATGCCTTGGAACTCAAAATAAAGGAAAAGGTTAGAAGTCAGGGATCTAGGGAATGAAAACATAAAGAAAAAGCTGCTTTTCCATATTTGACCTGATGTTGGTGTAGATCAGTGGTTCCTGATCTACACCAACAGAGCTGGCTGGAGAATTCTGAGAGTTGAAGCCCACAAGTCTTAAAGTTGCCAAGTTTGGGAACCACTGGTGTAGATGGGGCATTTAAAAAAATGTTTGGGCTACTAAGGCCACAAGAGGAAACATAACATCATCAGGAAATAGAGCCCAAACATTTTTATTTTTTTTTCTTCTTTTACTTTGAACATTTTGTTTTACTATGCCTCTATTATTTTATATTTATTTATATTTCATATTTCTTAACCGCCTAACTTCCTTAGAACGTTTATTAGTTGCTAAAATTGTGTCATTAAAATGAATTTTGACAGTGCAATATGGGAGTAGTCTGGAGGCACATGTAATCCACACTGAAACATGTAAGCCGCACTGCAGATTGCTCATTCCAATTCTATCCATTTCTCTTAATTGTAAGAAAATTAAGTGGAAATATAAGTGGAAATCCTTTCATATTTGAAAAAAAGAACAATTCTGAAGAAAGAAAACTATATCAAGAAGAAATAAAGTTAAAAATTGTATTTCTGACATGCCATCTTTTTGTATATAAAGAGGCTTATTTTCAAATATTTATCTACAAAGGTATTGCTCATTCCAAATATTTTGGAAATCTTTTGTATTGGATGGATATAAACATGTCATTCCCTCCAATATGTACGTAAGTATGCTTCATGTAGGTAGGATTTCATTCCTTTAATAATACAGGTAATTCTCACCTACCAACTGTAACTGCATCCAACAATTCAATTGCTAAATAACACAAACATTAAGTGAAATATCACATGATCACGCCAGACTTACAAGATCAGTTTCGCTGTTGTTAAGTAACAAAACCAAAGCTTAATAACCCTAGCATGAATCCTAGGACTGCAAATTGCAGCAATCTGCCAGTTTTTCTGCTGATTTTGCTTGTTAGAAGCTAGATATGAAGGTTACAAATGGTGGTTATAGGATTATGGGACACTGCAACCATTGTAAATGTGCACCAGTTGCAAAGCACCTAAATTATGGTCACATCACTACAGGGACACAACAATAGTTGCAAGTTTAAGAACTAGTAGGAAACCTACTATTTCAGTGCTTTTGTAACTTAGAACAATCACTGAACAAGGCAATCTGTAATTGAGGACCACATATATTCTTCCAGATGACTGACCAAGAAACAACTATTTCTTTTTAGATGCATAATCTATAACAAAATGTTAATCAGAATTTGTTTGCAGCTCTTCAGACCATATAGACAAAGGGAAGGTAGGTGGGTTACAAATGGGTAGTAAAAAATGGAACATTACTTCTTCATCATTTTGGCTGATTTCTTGTGTATTAAAAGTGGATCTTCTACCATAAAATTATACAGGGTATAGTCATGGATAATATTTGGAAAGCAAAAATGATTATCCTTTGATCATACTATGAGACTGCTACATGTAAATTTTGTCAACCTCTCCATGTTTGGTAGAATCTAAAATACCCCATCTTCCCATTCTGCTATTTATATTATCATACCAAAACTAGATATTTGAAAATATATATTTAATGGGAGCCAAAATTAATCCATTGAATCAATGGGATAAATAAATCATGATTAATTGATGTGTATTGATTTCAGTGTGTCTACTCAAAGCGTGACTAAGTGTAGATCAAATTCAGTCTGTTTTTACCTTCTTCCAGTTTTAAAAACAAAACATATATTCTTTCTGTCTGGGAGTAAATCTCCCTAAGCACAGTGAAACTTCCTTGTTTGAAGACATGCTCTGCAATGGTCCTAAAATAATATAGGCTCCTTTTAAGTCAATTGTTGAAAGGTCTTTTTAAGGATCAGCTGCTATGAGCTACAAAAGCCGGATTGGTTATAAGATATTAACTCTTAATCATATTAATTTTAAATAATGCAGACACACAGTATCCCAGCTACTATCACACCTACTGTCAAAGTGATATCAATTGTTATTACACATAATTGACAATGGGTGAATTATTTTTTTATGAGATCAAACAGAAGGGATATGAGGAATTTTGCACATTTTAAGTTCTATTAGCCTTCTGCCAAATCGGACCACTTGTATAGCACTTCTGATTTACTGGCAATGATGTTAGAATAAGAGTCCCCTCTCCCTCCCAGTCTTGGTACATAATGCTTTAACAATATGAAGTTTAGCCAGCGCTTGAATCTGGGTATTATGCATGTAAGACAAAGTTCAGTGCCATTTAAATTGTATCCCCAGGCCTGTAATACTTCAGTGTTGAGCAGAATAGTCTGATCTCATAACCATTTCTACCATTTAGCCATTGCTAGTTTTGACTTAATAACTGTATCATGTTCCTAGTCCTCCATTTTCTGACCTGATTTGCAGTTTCAGGGCCCTAGTCAACCAACCATTGCCTTATTTCTCAATTTTTCCCTCATCCTTATGAAATCTGAAATCAAGGCATAAGAATTATTTTTTCAATCAATCAATCAAACAAACAAACAAACAATAGAATCTTAACCAATGAGACATGCACTTCTATATGTAGAAAAGTAAATATGTACTACTCAAAGTCATTCTTTTATTCAAATAATTACAGGGCCCTACAAATAGAAGTTACTAAGCATTTCATTCTCTCTTGATATAAGTGGTCTTTTTTCATATGACTCTAGAGCCAGTCATATACTAGGAATTTTCATTTATTGTATAAATGAATTAGGATTTTCTCTAAGTTTACTGACGTATGTGTAACACTAACATTATTTGAAAAAAAATACTAGGAGGTCAAAGTTAAAGGACAAAAGCAAGAACAAAAAAAAACAAACACAAAAAGAAATACATGAGTGACAAAAGTTACATGCACAGATAAAAAAGTTAAGCAATATCTAGCCATCATGCCCACAGAATACTTACGAGAAAAAGATTTGGGGTTGATGGTGTGAAAATCCTTAAAGCCTTCAGCCCTATATGCAGCTGCAATAAAGAAGGTAAAGAGGATGCTAGATTGTAAGGTGGTCAAGCAGTACAAGATGAAGAATCATAACAGACATAGCTTCTATGAAAGAGACTGGTATCGATATTCACAGAGGTAAAATGATATTTAATGAAGTGTTTTCAGATTTGGAAGAATGTAAGAGGAATTTTTCAGTACAGTTTAAGCACTTAGAGCGATTCCACTTTAAAATAAACAAAAATGCTTTAATTAGCATCTGTGAGCTTGTTTTCTTCTACATTGTAAGATAACTATAACTACACACACACACACACACACACACACACACACACACACACACAC